TGGGGCAATTACAAAAATACCATTTTTTGTGTGCATATTTGCAAGAATGTCACTTAGGGGTGTTCATTTACAAAAATGCCACTAATTATAGATTTATAAAGCCTATATCTTAAAATTCTAATCCCTAAAAAATGTTTTGACACCTAAAACCCCCTAAACACTCAAAACTAAACCCTAATAGAACATAACTAACCCAAACATAAATAATATAAAGAAAAAATAATTTTGAAAAAGTGTCATTTTGTAAAGATTTCAAAAGTGTGGCATTTTTATAAAGTGGCATTTGAAAAGTGGCATTTTTTGAAATTTCTCTTTAATTTTTCAAGTTTTGTATGTTTGCAACAAGTTAACGGAACATCAACGTCCGTACCAATAATATAATAATTTTAATATTTTAATAAAAAATCATAATAAATTTCAAAATAATTTTTTTAAAAAATCAAAAATAATTTCTAAATTTAGTTAACAATTAAACTATTCAGTTGAAAATTTTCAAAAAATAAATTTAATTTTCTAAAATATAAAAAATCAAAAAATGTGTAGAGTTACAAATTTTTAAAAATTATATATCTTGTATTGGGGATAAAATAATTTTCTTTGTGCTCCACGAATCCACAGGTGAATACACATGGCCCAACAACACCTTCAGACGAACCACGCTATCTAGAGGAAAAGGACCCGTGCATGTAACCAAAAGACCCATAAACAGGGAACTTCAGACCCAAGAAAAGATAGGAAGCCCGAGTTCTCTTATCAAGGACTCAGGCAAGATAAAAAATAATTTTTATCGCGCTTTTGAGCTAAGCAAATCATTTGTCGCCACGTGGCATGATGGAATTTATAGCATCTCGGGTGGAGCTTATCACCCTATGACTGGTCCAAGAGACTAGTTTGGGCCAGGTTCTACAATGACCTAAATCCACAGGTGAAGACACTTGGCCCCAACAACCCCCGGAAGCGGACCACGCTATCCGAAGGAAAATGATCCTAGGGCAGTAACCAAAATGTCCATAAACAAGGAACTTTGGCCCCAAGGCAAGGTAGGAAGCCTGAGTTCTCTTATCAAGGACTCGTGCAAGGTAAGAAATACATTTCATGGTGTCCAAAACGTGTGTCGCCCGTCCAATGTTTGAATCTTGAGTCAATGGGTAAAAGCACTTTCACTTTATGCGTATTAGAGTAAAAATATGTGGCCCATATTGTGCACATTGACAAAAGTTGTGCAAAGTTGATTCTAAGGGAGCACCCCAATGCCTAAACCGGCGTGTCAGACGCTGCCACTAGTACAAGGAGAAAGTCGCAGCAGAACATAACTACACTGTCACGCAAGTGGCTTCAGAAGTCAAATAAAGTAATGCAAAAGCACTCAAGTACATCGTACTAATCCAAACCTGATGACCCAGACTTGAACTTGTTCCGAAGCATAGAACCCGGTATCCAAACTGGGATACGTAACACTCTATAAATACCCCTCATATCTATTCCATAAAAGAGAATCAAATATTTTAAGCAAGAGACACATATAATGCACTATTTCTTAAAGCACAAGGTTGATCCCCTGAACTGTGCGACTCTTTCCAACTGTTTAGGGCTCATGTCCTGGATCTCTTCCTTTCACAAATTCTTCATCTTTCTCTCTCTCTAAAACTTTCCTTCACCAGATTTCCAGATACTCCGCGGACCATCCTCCTTCCACCGGGAGTCATCATCTCTCTATATTTTTCCGACTATTTTCTCTCTTAACCTCTTTCGATCCACCGTGATCTCATTTAGCCTCCATTCTGACTTGGGCGACGGAGCGTCGTCGAAAAATACCCCCTCGACGTGTTTTCTAAGATCTTCACATGTTTGTTTATTGTGCATGAACCGGACCCCCTCATTAATTGTTTCAAGGGACTAAAGTCCTCTAAAACACCACAAATTTATTTTGATTAAAACTAAAATAAAATATAAAAACAATGTTGGTCTATAAATATAGCTTATTTTCTTTGTGACAGTCCACAAATATAATTTGAGGGAAAATATGCCTTAAATAATTTAGAATAAATTCATGAATGACATGTGTAACAATATTTTTTTAGGAAAATTCCACATATTTGTTTCAAATTTATTGTGATTTTAAATTTTTTAAAAATTGGAAAACAATTTAATTTTTACCTTAAACTTCATAATATATTTTGGAAATCAAAGACTTTTTTAAAATTTTAGAATTTTCCAAATTTGTTTTTGGTTTTGAAATTCAAAACTGAAACTATAATTTATCCTTAACTAAAGTTTAGAAAAAAAATTCGACTTTTTCAA